ATATTTTTCCTATCTATATCAAAAATCAAAAATCAAACCTGTTGCTTATCATGATGATCAGCATCATGAACGTAATCTTCCAGCAATTCGATCTTACAATAAAATCGCTGCTGTCTGTCCAACCAATTGTAGACAGGCAAAAGTTCGGTGTATTTCATTTTAGCGGGGATCCGACGAATAATATTCTCCAAAATCTGGGGAGGCAAGCTTCTTCCACGAAGGATATATATCAAATACACGTTTTCCTCCGGACATTTCAATACCAATGATCCCTGGTGGTGTACGATACGATAAAGGATAAAGTTTTCCAAGAGTAGCTTTGCAAATTTTCTTAATTTCGTTAAACAGCCTCGCAAATTTATTTATTTATAATCATCTTCTTACCTTGTGCAGCGTCTTCTCGGTGTTCATGACGATGGGCGCATAAGTGACGACACAAGGAGCCATTTGCAGTGGAGGGACTTGCAGGAATTGCTCAGCGGAGAAATAATCGCCGGTCACTTCGATCTTCAGTTTCCAGGGGGCGTTCGAGTCGTTCATTATGATCACGGATCGGGTTTGCTTTTCCCGTACGAACGACTCGAAATTGATCGTGTCTGTGGGATCTGGCAATTTGCAACACGCTCCTGATATTTTAATGTTCAGAGATTTGTGTTTTTCGATTTCTAGAAATGCCTGGCCAGGAAATGTAGGAATATATGTATACATATACACGTAAAGAATCTTTGTCAATTTGTCGCGAATTGCGTTTGCCACAATCTTTCTTTGCACGTGTAGATTTACGTAAATATAATGCATTGTTCAAGCATCGTAAATGACAATTTATTGCGAAGGCCGACTGAGAATGAGTCATTAAATAAAAATCGTTGTAAAAATTAAAGACTCGGAAATAACATAACATTCTTCTTCAATAGTACGTTTAAGATTCGACGAGTTACAGTTATTTAATCATTTTCATCTCGAAATAATGTTTGATCGATAGTATAGTTGTGAAACAATTTTCCTCGCGAAACATCCATCAAACACCTTCTTCTTTATATTATTATTCTTATA